GGATTATCAAATCGCCCTTTTGGTTGATGCGTGATTATCAAACCCGCGTCTACCACGGCTGCCTCTTCCTCCATCTCCCGTGCCCGCATGCAACGTACCCCTACCATTGTCCGAACCGAGTTCACCTGTTATCAGCGAAAGCAGAGGTGCAGAGCCTGATACGGGCTATTACTCAGATTGCGATACGGAGGAGGGTTCGGAGGTTGACGTACTCTCGCGTCGCTCGTCTCATGACGAGGTGTCCATTATCGCTAGTGATGATGACCTGTCCGTGAACGAGCGGAACGATGTTGAGCACGCCGGTGTCGATGATGATCGGTCTGATGAGCAGCTGGACCTGATGTTGCACTTTGAGGACTTCATCAACGATACGGGGGATCTGCACGATCCTGTGGTAAACGTCTGGTACGATCTGGACATGATCACGGAGGTCACGGACCCCATCCATTATATCCGAGTCTGCGCTGAGATCAAGAAGTACGTTAGATGTGTACCATGCGACTCCTGATTCTTTCTTTGCTGATGCTTCGTTACAGGATCGTCGAGGAAGCTGAGATACGACTTGGTATCAAGGTCGTAGACCTTCCCGCCGAAGCGCCCTTGACCAAGCCGAAATCACCAGCGACATCGCTTGCAAGCAGTATTCGCTCGGCCAATCCCCCTTCCATCTCTCATTCGCAACCCCACTCGAGAGATGCAGACAAGCGACGTGCTCCACGGATTAGAGCGATTGCCGCCAAAGTGCGAAAGTGGCCATCCCGCATGTGGTGCCGGTTACGTAGGATTTTGCAACCTTGTACCTCTGGTACTGCAGTGTCGCAGTAGTTTTAGCTCTCAACATGTTTTTCATTACACTGTTTGACTTTGCCACTTGTTGCTGAGCGAGGGCTCAGGATATCCATTCATCTTCATCACTCAGATGCCAGCATCGTGATCATATGCCGCGAGGAAAAATCTACTCGGCCATACCGCTTTGCTAGGTCGAATGGTGAATCTAGTGGGCACCGGACAAAAAGCTTGTTCGCTACGATGACTAGACGGAGGACAATAAGAGGCAAGAACGACGTTGATCACTAGTTGGAAATGCCCCTTCGAACCAAAATACCTGAATTGTGTCCCAAACGACCACAGCCCAGTGGCCCGTGGCCCAACGCCCCAAAAAATCCTCACGTGCAGTAGCCCGGGAATCGTTTTCGACCGGGCCACTGGGCCACTGGAGCA